CTACCAACATTTTCATTAACTTCCCACAGATTTTAAACATAACCCCACAATGAAAACTACATAAATATTATGCTTTGATTTTTTTTTACAAAAATTTAAATGAATAAAACAAAATTTCGATAAATTTTTGGAGATTTAGAGAAGCTGTCCGTTCCATGAAAATGATGGCAGGTAATAGGCATAATAAATTGCTTTGCGAATAATTAATGCGTAGTATGGAACGTGCAGAACAAGAAAATCACATGCATACACACGCACACACACACGTATACATACATATACACACAACACACATATACATACATATACTCACACATACACACTTATATACACAAACATATACACACATATATACACATATATATTCAATACACACATACGCACGCACCCACACATACGCACAACACACATATACATACATATACGCACACAAACACACTTATATACACACACATATACACACATATATATATACACATTTATATATACACAAGTATATGCAATACATACATACACACACATACGCACGCACACACACATACGCACACACACACGCACGCAAACAGAAACGTACTTCATAATTTAAGAAAAAAATTAATTCAACTGGTCGGTTATTGTTAAAATAAATTTTTCCAAAGTGGTTGAAGATCAACATGTACTATGGAAAATTATAATTACAAATTGATCGTTCATCCAGCTATCACTCATGAAAAACAAAAAAACGATTATTATTGATGGACAAGTTTTAAAATGTCAACAACCTTTCTACAATTTGTTAGACTGCAACTCTCCCGACAAATAAGATCCACATTCAGTTGCTACGTGGTTGCTCAGTGGCAAATTCTCAGCTAACCTGTTTGTTTCCCAATTTGCTCAGACTGCATTCGTACCGGGTCACTGCATAACCTCAAAACAACAATTGCGAAACCTGCTACTGGTGCCTCTATTATTTGAGCTAATTTATTGGGTTTACGAATGTCTGTTCTTGATCTAACATCTAACTTGCCGGGGTGAATCACTGTTTATCTAACAATTTTTTCTGATTTGGAAAACAAACATTTCGAAATTTTTGACAAATCTTATTTATGCTTTCTTTCTCAGATTTAACATCAACTTCAATTTTTGAATTTTTTGGTGAGCAGTAAATTGTGAAATGATGTCATTTAGGGCAACATAAACAACAGCAAACATCCACTTGAACAGCAACATAAATTACAACAACATCAACAACAACATTTACAACAACATCAACAACAATAACATCAACAACAACAACAACATCAACAACAGAGATACAATTAAATTGTCTGAATGTTTACAGAGTTGATGACTCACTGATGATTCAGCAACCCCAGCCAACATAGTGGCTGTCATAATGATGATGAGGGTGATGATGATATTGATGATGACGACGACGATGATGATGACGATAAGTGTTATAATGATAATAAGTAGAATAAAATAAATGTAATCACATCGTTGATGATAATTGATAATTATATTGGCAATATAAAAAAAACAGCACGACCAAACAGCGGTGGATCTAGTCAGAAAAATTTACCAAAAATCGGATGGGATAAGTAAAACGGTCGACAGCCACACTACCACAACCTTTTTCTCCCTCGTGCAAACATTTTGCCCCTCCCCCTTAAAAATGTGAACATTTTCAAAATGTTGGCACCCACCTCCCGTCAAAGTTGTCTAGATCCGCCTCAGCGACCAAATATTTAGCAACCTTTCCAAGATTTTTAGCGGACCATTTGATAAACATTAACGATAGCTTCTCGTACAAAATATGCAAAATAACGCAAATACAGACGCAACGACATATAGCTGCTGTCACAATAAGAGCGTTGCGAGCAGGAATGAATGTTTGAGTTTGGGTGGTACTTCTGCCAAGAAACATCTCACAGATTTTAAAGTTTTGCTTAAAATAAAGTTATCTAGATTTAATTTCATATAAAAAATTTTAAAAGCTGTTGTTGTTGTTTGTGTCAGTTTTTCTGTGCATTGTAATGAAGAAACCACCGTATTCCTCCTTTTCCTTCCGACATTTGACAATGCGAACAATCATATGCCCATGTACATAATATGCACTAACAAACTCTCGCACAGCACAAATTTACCTACACACACACACACACAAATACTCAACTACACACACACACACAAATACTCAACTACCACACACACAAATACCCAACTACCACACACACACCACACATACACACACACACACATACACACACACATACACACACAGGGATGAGCGGAATAAAAGCAAGAAGAAACAGCTAAAATGATGCGGATCGGATCATAAAACATAACGTATTAAAATGCAAAAGAGTACCGAGCCAATACTTGTTCAATATATACCTATGTTTATATTATATATTACGTATTTGTATGTATGTATGTAGTTATGTTAGTATGTATGTATCATGTATGTATGTATGTATTTATGTATGTATTATTATTACAAGTCAATTTGTACAGCGCTAATTACAAAAAAAAGATCTCAAAAGCGCTCCCTAAAATAAATGAAAAAACCAAATATTAATCAAACGAAGACAAAGACATTGTTAAATCTGCGAAAATAAATGAGTCTTCAGCTCCTTTTTAAACAAAAACAATGATAGATCTGGTCTTCTTAGAAACGCCGGTAGACTGTTCCAAACCACCGGTCCAGCAACAGCAATATTGCGTGATCCGGTCTGTAAATTCGTTGTCGGCACAACCAGGAGGTTCATGCCATTTGATCTCAACTGCGAACTTTTTCTGATGAACATGTCTGCCAAATACTGTGGTGCTAAACCATGTAATGACCGAAACGTTAAGACAGCAATTTTGAAAATTATTTTTTTTTCAATTTTTAGCCAGTGTAGATTGGAGTCACGTGATCGAATTTCAGATTTTTTGTGACAAGTTTTGCAGCTCGATTTTGAATAGACTGAAGTACATATGTACGTACGTATGTATGTATATGTATGTGTGTATGTGTGTATGTATATATGTATGTGTATATTTTATTATTATTATTAAAAGAAAACTTAATATAGCGTTCGTTATAGCAGTTTTCACAAACGCTATCAAATTATAACTAATATTAATAACAAAATAGCAAGAATGAACAATAATGAAAAAAGGTATGTCTTTAATTGTCTTTTAAATTCAGCAATGTTCATTCCAGGCATTCTGAGGGCCGGCGGCAAGCCGTTCCATACGACAGGGCCTAACACAGCAAAATCACGCGATCCAATCTTTAGCTGTCTATGAGGAACCACAAGAAAGTTCGAATCGTCAGACCTCAGACGCACACCAGATGCGATCGACGTTTTTAATTTCAGTTAATCTGATAAATATTTTGGAGCCAGACCATTTAGTGATTTGAAAACTGTGACAGAGATTTTAAAAACAATTCTTTTATTTATGGGCAACCAATGCAAATCACTCAGGATCGGTGTGGCATGATCATACCATCGACATCCAGCCACAATCCAGGCAGTACGATTTTGTATCGATTGCAAAATTTTGATGGATCTAGCCGGGAGTCCATAAAATAAACTATTGCAATAATCGACACGTGAGTGCACCAACGCGTGCGCCAGAGTCTGCATTGCGTCTTTATCAAGTGATTCTCGAATTTGTTTCATTCTTCTAATCTGTGCCAAGCATGATATAGAGATCATTTTAAAATGAGATTTCATTTTAAGGTTTGAATCATTTATAAAACCTAGATTCGACACTGCTTTACAGAAATCTATTTTTTTATCATTCATAACAACTGAATTTACATCCAAGTCTGCCAACTGCTGCCAGGTACCAATAGGAAGAAATTTTGTTTTACCCTGGTTAAGCTTCAATTCATTTCTCGACATCCACAGATTAACCTCCGCCGTACATTCAATGAATCTCGTAATCTCGTCTTGAAATAACTTCGGTTTACCTGATAAAATAATTAGAATGTCGTCCAGACACCAGAGCGAACCACACTGATGTAGGACAAACTCCCGTTGAACGAAACCTGCTGTGTTCGGCCAATCAAGTAGCTTCTGAGCCAATCTATTATTTCCCCAGATATTCCAAAATGTTGATGCAGCCTGAGCAGTAACATTTCATGATTGACACAGTCGAAAGCCGAGCTCATGTCCAAAAATGCCAACAAGGAAATGTTTTGAGCATCCTTCTCGGCATAAACCCCCCGAGAGAACATGTAGCAGGGCAGTTTCAGGGGAGTGAAATCGTCTAAAACCGGATTGATGTGCAGGCATGAGATTATTATCATTCAAATGAGCAAGCAATTGTCTCGACACCATTCTTTCAATGAGTTTTGATATAAATGACAGATTACTGACTGGTCGATAATTACTGACGTCACCTGGATCTGCATGTATGTATGTATGTATGTATGTATGTACGTACGTACGTATGTATGTATATGTATGTGCGTATGTATGTATGTGTGTATGTATGTATGTATGTATGTATGTATGTATGTGTGTATGTATGTACGTATGTATGTATGTATGTATGTATGTGAGTATATGTATGGGTGTGGATGTGTGTTAATAAACGCGTTGTTAATGATCAGTTTTTTTGTTACTTTCTACTCTTAAATGGATTCATTTAATTATTACACAGATTCATTTAATTAATACACATTTATTTTTTTGTTAACCAATTTGAATATTAAAATTAAAAAAATTAGTTACAATCTCTCAGAATATTCGATGAAGCCAGATCAACTGTACGTAATCCCACTCAGAGCCTCTGCCATTACGAAGTCAGCCCATGAAGATCAGCACATTTCCACAACTGTACTGCTATCTGGCTGGCTGGCATCCTACATTCAAGTGATGCTCACTGCCAATGAAGAATTGTATGCGTGGTTTTTTTGCTGTGTAGCTGGAATGGAACTACTGAACATGTATGATTGAAACATACACAATAAAAAATAAATTTATGATTTACCTGGGCAGACAATTCAACAGGAATTGAACGAAATTGCTAAGGATCCATACGTTAATAATAATCATTTGCATGATTTTTTATTGCTCACGATCACACACACGTGCACAAGCACATACATGCAAACAAAAACCTGTTTACAAGGAAGCGTGCATGCATGCATACAAGCAAACAAACACACATACATATATATTTAGGTATACAGACATACGAACACACAAATACAAACACCTACGTTCAAACAAAATCGTGCAAACATCCATATAATAAACACACATGCACACACGCACGCTCGCACAAACAAAAGCACATACATTCACACAAACAAGCAAAACAAGTTTTCTTTATTAGCTTCACAAAAATTGCAACGAAATGGAAACCAAATTTAAAAAATTTATTCAACAATGTCTTGTTTTGCCGGACACTTCCGAAAAACAAAAACATCCAACATGCCAACAAATCGAATACATACAAAAAAGCAGACATACAAACAAATATACATATACATATACACGCATACATACAAATATGAAAACATACTATAATACATAAAAACAAATATATATATATATATATATATATATATATATATATATGTTGGTAATAGACCATAATTTTTACAATATTCTATAAATTCTACCGAATGTTTGGCGTTAAATTCGGTAGAATTTATAGAATATTGTAAAAATTATGGTCTATTAACGCCAAACATTCGGTAGAATTTATAGAATATTGTAAAAATATATATATATATATATATATATATACAAGTATAAAAATATACATAGTTAGGTAGAAGGCCATTACGTTCATTAAATTCTTTCGCTATAGTAACATTTATTAATTTCAATTTTTATTTTTTTATTTTTTTAATTATATATCAGAACTATAGTTACAATATGTAGACATACTGTCTTATACTTCAGATAAATGCTTGGCTAAACCGAAACCATGGTGAAGTTAATTATCACCTGACGCAGATGCTTTCGGGACGTGGATGTTTCCAGGCACATCTTCATCGTTCCGGGCACGATGTCTTCTTTGAAGGCCCATCCTGTCCATGAATGAGAGCACGAATTTTGTGAGTATCTCCGTTTCAAAATTTTTATATCCCCCTTGGAAATTGTTTTCTAAAAGAAAATCCAGGCAGAGAACATAGTGGAAGCCATGCTTTCATCATAATTTGCTTCGGATGCGACTGATGCATTCGCGTTTGACGTTCGGCACAATTTGCGCATAGTGGAAAGGCAAAGATCAAACAATCAAAGATAAAAGGTAGACATTCATTGTCATAAACAAAAAGAGCTGATCATTAACAACGCGTTTATTAACACACATATATACATACATACATACATACATACATACATACATACATACATACATACATACATACATACATACATACATACATACATACATACATACATTCGCCTTTCGGTGCCGCACCCGACCCCAAGCCTAGGTTGTCCACACGGTCGTCGGCCGCATCGGTCTCCAGGGATCCTCTCGACCTGGATTACTCTGGTGTTTTTGACAAGCTGACGGCCGTACTGAAATGTGTACCGGTGTACGACCATATCCCTAAGCCATGCAGGGAGAAGTTCGCACATGATCTGAACGCCTTGCTGACGGCTGTTTGTAATGACCTTGGTGACCCGGCTCACTGGGTTAGACTCCACTGTTTTGTCCCATACGTCTTACAGAAGACTTCCAGAGGGGGTCGCCGGGTCAACCAGGGCAATCTAGTCAACAAGCGTCTAAGCGAATATTCAACTATTGGTTTTGAAACCCTGGTACTGTGCTTTGATGGGTTCAATAATGCCAAATCACAAAAGCACAACCCCGATCGGTGGATCAACGCTGTGTCATCTTGTATTGAACAGGAAAACCTGTCCTCGGCTGTCAGACATGTCTGTTCGCCGGAGGGCCTGGCGGAGAGCTCGCCAACCACTTTCGATAAATTATGTTCCATCCACCCAAACATTCCGGTGGACAGGCGGGTCTTCCCCGCATTGGCACCAACGGCTGGTTGCGTTTCTCCCGCCGAAGTGCTGAGGGCCGTTAAATTGTTCAAAAACGGTTCTTCTGGAGGCCTGGATGGCCTACGACCCCAACACCTTAAGGATGTTTTTTCTGGCCTCTTGCCAATCGACGACACACTGAACTCCTTAACCCAATTCATTAATTTGATCCTATCTGGAGCTTGCCCACTTTCCGTCCGCCGGTTCTTCTTTGGAGGCCGGCTAATAGCTTTAAATAAGAAAGACGGAGGGGTCAGACCAATTGCGGTCAAAAACGTTTGGAGGAGGTTGGCCGGCAAATGTGCCTTGGCCCTGGTCGTGGTCAAACTCAAGACCAAATTCTATTCGACTCAGTTGGGTGTCGGGATTAAGGGTGGCGCTGAGGCCGATGTTCATGCGGTTTGAAGATTGGTCACCGACCTTCCCGATCAATGGGGGTTTCTGAAACTGGACTTTAAAAATGCCTTCAACGCCTTGAGAAGAGACTCGATGTTAGATATAGATATTGAGGCAAAACTTTTTTGCCTCAATATCTATAATTTTTGCCATTCTGCCTATGGCGGAGTCTCTTCTCTTGGCTACCACTCTTGGGTTGTTGAATCGTCCGAGGGGGTACAGCAGGGTGACCCTCTTGGTCCTTTGCTGTTCGCACTAACTCTTCATCCACTCTTAGAGAAAGCTTCGTCCACTTTCGTTTGCGCTTATCTGGAAGATATCAGCATTGCTTCGGACGGCCCAACTCTGGCCGATAGCTACGAATATCTGAAGCATAACTCCGCTGCAATTGGTTTAGAGTTAAACATTAAGAAATGCGAACTTTACTGCCAAAGTTTATTTCAGGTGCCACATGCGCTGACTGGAATACCCAGAGTTGGTGCATCAGGACTGAATTTATTAGGCACACCCTTGGTCGAGGGCGATTACCAAATAAAGTTTTTTGACCAAAACCTCTCTGAGCTTAAATTTACCCTGCGTCGTGTTTCCTGTCTTTCAGCCCATGATGCCTTGACTATTATCCGCAATGCCCTCAGTTTGCCCAAATTGATGTACTTCCTGCGTACATCCAAACACATTGATCTTTCTAAATTGGGCGAATTTGACAGAGCACTGCGCACCGCCCTGTCGTCGATTTGCAAAGTTCAAGTGACCGACAGTAGTTGGTCCCAGGCTCAGCTGTCGGTGCGATTTGGTGGGCTGGGATTGCTTAGCGTGGTTCAGCTGGCTCCTGTTGTTTATAATTTTTCTGCCGCTGCCACTCTCGACTTGTAGTCTTCCCTGCTCCACCGGTTTTTTCGTTGCCGCGATATTCTTTCCCCAGTGTCTGCCCCGAGGGACCGTACGCACGTCCAAATTTTGAACGAAGAATATAAAAAAATTTTTCAAAATTTGTTGTCTTCATGCGGCGACGACTTTTCCACCGCTCGTTTGTTGGCCATGTCCAGCGTTGCCAGCTGTGGGTGGTTGAGATCGTGGCCCAACACCTCTGTGGGTACTAGACTTGACAACAAGTCTGTGAGATTTGCCATTGGTTTCAGACTTGGCCTGGTCATTCAAAATAAATACACGTGCCGATGTGGCGCTGGGGCGGACGAGTTTGGGCACCACGGTTTGGTTTGTCGCCTGGGTGGGGGCCGTCAACTACGTCACTCAGCATTAAACGACTAAATTTGTCGGCTCTTCTCCAAGGCTTCAATCCCGGTTCTCAAGGAACCATCCGGCATTTCTGCGCATGATGGTAGGCGCCCGGGCGGATGCACACTAATACCTTAGAGAGCCGGTAGATGTTTGGCGTGGGATGTTACGGTCCCTGGCACCCTTGCCAAACGATATGTAAACCTGACAAGTAAAGAATGCGGTTTGGCCGCGGCCAGAGCAGCGGACGAGAAAATGAAAAGATATGGGAACGCCCTCCCCTCGATGGAATTTTTGCCTAATTTCTTAAGGCAATATGTAAAATGATCAGCGTCTGATCAGGCGACAGCAGGGAACTGTTTTTCGCAACTAACCATATTTCGTGTTTGTTGCAGCGGTTCCTGCGTGTCGGTGTGCTTGAAAATATCCAGCTGAATGCCGACATGTGCAATTAACGACAAATCAAAGTGTTAATCCATTTGTTACTTGATGTTTGACGGCTCAATGTCACTCATCATGTTTTGGTTTTAATACATACATACATACATACATACATACATACATACATACATACATACATACATACATACATACATACATACATACATACATACATACATACATACATACATACATACATACATACATACATACATACATACATACATACATACATACATACATACATACATACATACATACATACATACATACATACATACATACATACATACATACATACATACATACATACATACATACATACATACATACCTACATACATACACACATACATACATACACACACACATACATACATACATGCATGCATACGACAGAGCAGTGGTGTTGGCAAGAAAAAGTTTAAGTGACCACGAATGCTCAAGAGTCCAATAAACAATGATGTTGGAATTGGAATCTAATGAAACATATAATGACCACTGCGCTCCTCGTGCATACAAACCAGTGGACACATTTCTTGACCAAGAGTATTATCACTTCATGACAACAGTATTATCCATTAATTACACTAATTCATTTCATAAAATTTCAGACATTAATTTTAACGCAATAACGTCGCTGCTTTTAACTAAGAAATACCGAAAATTATATAATTCCTGCGATAAACATGATTTCAACATTATAAAATTTTCACTCTGTATATATACATTAAAGGTCACTCTCTCTCTTTTGCGTTAGCTTCAGAGGTTTCAACGACATTCACACACAGCGTATATGAATACGCGTGCAAACCACGCATCATACACATTGCATATGATAAGCGGGGATTTCTTTGTATTCGAACCCAGTCATTGCAATAGCAAGACCAGGCGCCTTTAACCATTGAGCCATCACGCCGCCACATTGTACATTGGGATGTGCTCAACGTTACATGACATTAACGTGATATAAATCTTGTGATAAAGGGGATGCGACCAAGACATCGCACACAATCAAACCGTGTTGCCAAAAAGTGTTCCCACACTATCGCCAGCAAACATAACTTTACAGGACTCGATTGGAGGAACAATAACATTCGCGGTATATTGGACACGCAATGACTCTACTATGGTTTACCGCATTCGTGGCAAACAGTCGTACATATACACATACATGCATACACACATACACACATACATCTCGTTAGCTCAACACGGTCCGGCCGACTTGAAACATTTTGCTGGTAACATTTCGCGTTTTTAAAGGTTTTAGGGATTTTAGTTTTTAGTTTTGACTAATTTTTGGTTATTAAAATTGGTTTTAACGTTTTGGACTGTTTCTTTTTGCTTTTTTGGATATTTTATGGTGGTTTGGTGGGTTTTATCAAATTTTATTTCGTTTCCAAAAATTTTTTTTTTTTAAACTCATGAATATTAAATAGTATACAATACTAGCTTTCCGTTTTTCATTTATGTACACCATCCTTGCAATATTTTTGTTTTAATTTTTATTTTTTGGTTTAATGTTTTAACAATGTTTGCAGTTTTATTAGTATTTTACCTATAATTTTAATTTTATTTTTATTTATGGCTCCGGTTTTACACAAATGCACTTTTTGTTTCAACCACTATAAATTAAGACCGGACGGGAAATTACACCGGCACGGAGGGAAAGAGAAGGGTCAAGAATGCCCTGGGTCTATGAAAGCGATCGACCAACCATCGGCCGGGTCTACAGGACCTTCGGGTTTGGCTCCCCGCGCTGCACCTGTCAACGAGGGTCGCGAAGCCGCACGTACATCAGCTTCGGTCACGGAGGCGCCCATGGGAACTGACTTTAACGCTTCTTTTGACAGACTGACGGCCGCCTTGAGAAAAACCCCGGTTATTGATCATGTGCCAAAACCATGTAGAGAAAAAGTAATAAAAAAATTGATGTCCCTCATGGCGGCAATTTGTAATAAACCTTGCGACCCAACTCACTGGTACAGGCTCCATTGTTTTTTCTCATATATCCTCAAAAAGCCTGCCAGAGGGGGTCGAAGATTCAACCAGGGTAATCATGTTAATAAACGATTGGCAGATTACTCTACATAGGAGGTTGAGTCTATTGCAGATGGCTTTGAAATCGACAATACAATAAAGCCACAAAAAAACAATCCAAACAGTTGGATTCAAACCGCAATCGCCCGCATAGAACAGGGCAATCTTTCGGCGGCTGTCAGGCTTGTTTGCTCTCCCGAGGGTCTGGCGGAGGACTCTCCTGAGACATTGGTTAGACTCAACGCCATCCACCCCAGGTCACCATCGGACAGGCGAGTCTTTCCTGCACCGGAAACCGTAAATGGTTGCGTTTCACCCACCCAGGTGTTGTCAGCCCTGAAGTCATTTAGGAATGGTTCGTCTGGAGGCCTTGACTGCCTAAGGCCCCAGCACATTAAAGATTTAATTTCAGGCCCACTGCCCATTGACGAGTTTGTAAGCTCCCTAACACAGTTTATAAATATAATTTTATCTGGCGCGTGCCCATCCGCCGCCAGCCGTTTCTTTTTCGGGGGTCGGTTGATAGCGTTGACAAAAAAAGATGGGGGAGTTAGACCTATTGTGGTCGGTAACTTTTGGAGAAGGTTGGCCAGCAAATGTGCTCTGATCTTGGTGTTGGAAGAAACCAAGGCGAAACTTTACCCATTCAACTGGGCGTTGGGGTGAAAGGAGGAGCAGAGGCGGCCGTACATGCGGCCCGTAAATTGGTTCTGGACTTACCCGATAAATGGGGTTTTTTAAAAATTGACTTCAGGAATGCTTTTAATACCCTGAGGAGAGATTCGATGTTGGAGGCAGTCAAACGGCTCTGTCCCCAAATTTACAATTACTGCCACTCCGCATATGGCCGAATCTCTTCTCTTGGTTATAACACCTGGGTGATGGAATCGTCCGAAGAGGTGCAACAGGGTGACCCTTTGGGGCCGATGTTGTTTGCTCTGACCCTACACCCGGTGTTGGAAAAATCTTTTTCAAAATTCGTTTGCGGCTACCTGGACGATATCAGTTTGGCCGCCGAGGGTGCAATTTTAGCTACTGATTTCCTGTCTTTAAAAGACAATGCCTCCATCATTGGACTTGAGCTTAATATTAAAAAATGCAAATTGTACGCAAATGACTCTTTTGAAATGCCACAGGCACTGGCGAAAGTGCCCTTAGTGTCTGAGGCATCATTGAGCTTCTTGGGCACCCCATTGATGGAGGGTGAGTTTCAAAACACTTTTTTTAATAAAAAACTCGCAGAGCTGAAATTCGCCCTCGACCGAGTGTCTCATCTTCCGGTGCACGACGCGCTGACCATCGTCCGCAACGCCCTTAGTTTGCCTAGATTGATGTATTTCCTTCGTACATCCTTCTCGGTTGATGCATCCATTTTGGGCGAATTCGATGGCGCCCTGAGGAATGCAATGTTGAGTTGACAGACAGGGGCTGGTCTCAGGCCCAGTTGCCGGTTCGGTTTGGGGGACTGGGGTTGTTAAGCAAGGTCCAGCTGACACCTATTGTTTACAAATCATCTGCCGCTGCCACGCTCGACCTGCAGTCTGCCCTGCTCCGGCAATCTTTCACGAATCTTGGTACCCCACCAGCATCACCCAACCAAGCAAAACATTTTCAAGCTCGGTTGCTGGAAGAGGCATACAAAACAACTTTTCAGTTTTTGTTGTCCTCTAGTCCCGACGATGCAACTTCGGCTCGTCTGCTGGCCGCGTCAAGCGACGCGAGCTGCGGTTGGTTGAGATAGATCCTGGCCCAACTCATCGGTGGGTACCCGACTGGATGATGAGACGGTCAGGATGGCCATTGGTTTTCGTCTGGGTTTAACGGTCCACCATAAATATCTGCGGAAGCTAACGAACTCGGTCACCACGGCCTGGTCTGTCGTTTAGGTGGAGGTCGTCAGTTGCGCCATTCCGTGTTAATTGATTACATCTGCCGGCTTTTCTCCAAGGCTTTAATACCCGTTCTTAAAGAGCCCTCGGGAATTTCCGCGTTGGATGGAAAACGCCCGGATGGCTGCACGTTGATTCCTTGGAGAGCCGGTAGATGCCTGGCGTGGGACGTAACCGTTCCGGGCATATTAGCGGAACGGTACGTGCACTTAACCAGCAAAGAAAGTGGTTTGGCCGCAACCAGGGCATCGGATGAAAAGTTTAAAAAATATGAAGGTACCCTGCCCTCGATGGATTTTTTACCTGTTTGCATCGAAGTTCTTGGCCCGATGGACAACAACACTTCAATATTTTTTAAAAAGATTTGCAAAATGATAAGTGGCAGGTCCGGCGACAGCAGAGAGCTATTTTTCGCCATGAATCATATATCTTGTTTGCTGCAAAGGTTTTTGCGCGTCTGTGTTATCGAAAATGTTCAATTAAACGCCGACGTGAGCGAATAACGAGATATCAATTGTTAACCGATTTTATTCAGATGTTTGACTGTTTAGTGTCACTCATCGCTGATTTGGTTTTAACATACATACATACGACAAATCAAAGTGTTAATCCATTTGTTACTTGATGTTTGACGGTTCAGTGTCACTCATCATGTTTTGGTTTTAACATACATATATACATACATACATACATACATACATACATACATACATACATACATACATACATACATACATACATACATACATACATACATACATACATACATACATACATACATACATACATACATACATACATACATACATACATACATACATACATACACACATACATACATTTAATATGTTTTTAAACTCTTGTTTTATTGAACTTTTGGATTATTTTGTGTGTTATCATCCTGGGATTGAGTCTTTCACGTCATTTTGTCGCAGTTTGCCTTGGTTTTTTGTTGATTTAATTAGATTTTTCAACTTTTAATTTTTTAATTGGCATGGTTAATTCATAGCGCACAGCTGTTGCTTGTTTCGTACCTGACTCAACTGTGCGCTGCTATATTGTTATTCATAACTTACCTTTACTTTTTCCATTACCTTAGAATTTTATTATAATTTCGTATTTTAAATTTTAAACGTACTTAGTTCATTTAAATTTTTGTTTGTTAAAATTACTTATCTCACCAAATCACATGTATGGCCCCGGTTTTACACCAGTGCCCTGTTTGCTCCAATCACTACAAGATCACACCAGACGGGAAACTTTGCCGTCATGGTGGAAGGGTTAAAGGCCAGGAATGCTCGGGTTCGAGGAAAAAGGTGGATGCACCACAGGTTGTGACCGGTCCGCCTCACGTAGCCGCATCTAGCGATGGACTCATAATGGGTGCGTCCGTAATGGAGAGTCCCACCAGTTTGGATTACCCCCTTTTTTTTGACAGGATGACGGCTGTTTTGAAACGCGTACCACTGCACGATCACATTCCAAAACCGTGTAGAGAAAAATGTAGCAAAGCACTGCACGAGTTACTGACGGCCGTTTGTTGTGACTTCGGCGATCCCGCTCACTGGTGCAGACTTTTTTGTTTTTTCCATACGTCCTTCAAAAACCTGCCAGAGGGGGACGCCGGGTCAACCAAGGCAACCAGGTTAACAAGCGCCTGTCCAAATACTCCACGATTGAGGTTACGTCCCTGCTCTCGGGTTTTGAAAACCCGAGAGCAGGGACACCATTGGGCTAGAGTTAAACACCAATAAATGTGAACTCTATTTTAAAGATTCACTACATTTGCCACCGGTGTTGGCGGACGTACCCATCGTTCAAAAATCAGATTTAAGTCTTTTGGGCACACCCTTGTTCGAAGGCGACTCCCAAATTAAATTTTTTGATAAAAAGTTTTCAGAACTTAAGTTCGCCCTCGACTGAGTGTCTCATCTTTCCGCCCACGACGCCCTGACTATTGTCCGAAGCGCCCTCAGTTTGCCCAAAATGATGTATTTTCTTCGTACATCCAGCTACATTAACCCATCGTTGTTGGGTAGATTTGATGATGTTTTGCGTACCGCCTTGTCAGCCATTTGCAATGTTCATTTGACTGACAGTGGCTGGTCCCAGGCTCAGCTGCCGGTGCGGTATGGTGGTCTGGGGTTACTCAGTGTGGTTCAGTTGGCACCAATCGTCTATAAATCTTCTGCCGCTGCCACTCTTGACCTCCAGTCCGCTTTGCTTTGCCGATTTTGTTGTTGCTGTGACATCCCACCTCTGCCGACCACACCTGAAAGCCCTTCACAAGCTCAAATTTTAGATGAGCAATATAAGAAGACTTTTCATGAACTTCTGTCTTCTGGTTTCGGTGCTTCTTTCTCCGCCCGCTTATTGGCTGCAACTAGTGATGTTAGTTGTGGTTGATTGAGGTCGTGGCCCAACACTTCCGTAGGCACCAGACTCGATGACGAGTCTGTTAGATTTGCCGTTGGTTTCAGACTTGGCCTAAGTATACAAAATAAATATCTGTGTCGTTGCGGCGCGGAGGCGGACAAATTTGGTCATCATGGTTTGGTTTGCCGCTTAGGGGGAGGCCGTCAACTTCGTCATTCAGCTTTGAATGATTACATTTGCCGGCTTTTTTCTAAAGCTTCTATTCCTGTTTTGAAGGAACCATCTGGCATTTCAGTGCAAGATGGCAAGCGACCAGACGGTTGTACTCTTACTCCCTGGAGAGCTGGTAAATATTAGGCTTGGGATGTTACGGTTCCTGGTACCTTGGCCGAGCGCTACGTTCACCTTACCAGCAAAGAATGTGGTTTGGCTGCAATCAGGGCATCGGACGAAAAAATTAAAAAATATGAACACGCCCTGCCTTCCTTAGATTTTTTGCCAATATGTATCAAGGTCCTTGGACCCATGGACCCCAATACTTCAAAATTTATTAAAACATTGTGTAAAATTATTGGTATTCGATCAGGTGACAACAGAGAGTTCTTTTTTGCAATAAACCACATCTCGTGTTTGTTGCAGCGATTTCTGCGTGTTTGTGTGTCGGAAAATATTAATTTAAACGCCGACGTGTGAGACTAACGATACATTAAAGTGTTAACCCTTTTAATCAGATGTTTGACTGTTTGTTGTCATTCATCACGATTTGGTTTTAACATACATACATACATACACATGGCCCAACACCTCTGTGAGCACCAGGCTTGACGACGAGTCTGTGAGATTTGCCATTGGTTTCAGACTTGGCCTGGTCATTCAAAATAAATACACGTGCCGATGTGGCGCAGGGGCGGACGAGTTTGGGCACCACGGTTTGGTTTGTCGCCTGGGTGGGGGCCGTCAACTACGTCACTCAGCGCTAAACGATTACATTTGTCGGCTCTTCTCCAAGGCTTCAATCCCGGTTCTCAAGGAACCATTCGGCATTTCTGCGCATGATGGTAGGCGCCCGGACGGATGCACGCTAATACCTTGGAAAGCCGGCAGATGTTTGGCGTGGGATGTTACGGTCCCTGGCACCCTCGCCGAACGATACGTAAACCTGACAAGTAAAGAATGCGGTTTGGCCGCGGCCAGGGCAGCGGACGAGAAAATGAAAAGATATGGGAACGCCCTCCCTTCGATGGAATTCTTGCCAATATGCATCGAGGTTCTTGGCTCGATGAACCCCAACACCCTTAAATTTCTTAAGGAAATATGCAAAATGATCAGCGTCAGATCAGGCGACAGCAGGGAACTGTTTTTCGCAACTAACCACATTTCGTGCTTGTTGCAGCGGTTCCTGCGTGTCTGTGTGCTTGAAAATATCCAACTGAATGCCGACATGTGCAATTAACGACAAATCAAAGTGTTAATCCATTTGTTACTTGATGTTTGACGGTTCAGTGTCACTCATCATGTTTTGGTTTTAACATACATACATACAAACATGTTTTGTATAAATACATATTTATCCGAACACCAGACTACCCGGTATAATACAACCGAACGGCAACTGCAGTCGCACTGAGACTCCACGACACATGACACATAGATGTACGCACGCACACCATTAGTGAGCGTTCCCGGGCACTAACAGTGCTAACATGCAGTTTCTCCATGTGTGTTCTAACATTCTACAGTTTATGCAAGTTTGTGCCGAACTAGCCAACGTAAAACTCTTGTGCACAAACCTACAATGACACGTGACCGAGAAAATGTTAAAACATTTCTGTACAAACAAACAAACATTTGTGCAAGCAGGACCAACAAACAGAAGATGCAATTATAAACAATGAATCATGGATCATACACAACACACGACGCAAACAAACGGATTTACTCACGCACGCACAAATGACCAGAAGCACACACTGCATACACGCACAAAAATAAACATGCCTGAATACCAGAACAACCCCATTCTCACACACACACACACACACACACGCACAAAAGCACGAACGTGACCAACAAAAACAGACATGCAGACTGAAGCAGACAAACGTGTATCTTATTATATTATTAAATTATAGCGGCAGTACGTGATTTTACACGTATTCGTGCATATGTGTCAGTCTGCCTATCAGAATGGACACCACTGCAAACAAGCAAACAAGCGCATTAAGCAAGGACGAGGCGGGCATTAATCAAATTACCGGCTGAAGAACCCCGTGCTAAAACGAATATAATTTCGACGGACACACACAAACTAATCAGATCAAGTCCCTTTTCAAGTTCGCACAAAAATTTCTCTCATATGTAAACTAACATGTTAAGAACGAGTTGAAATTATCTCGTGTTTCCCTATCTCGGAAATTTATTTTCCACAATTAAGTATGGACAAAAATCTCAGTAAATGTTGACATTTTTCGAGTTTCATCCAATCATATGAAAAATATTAGAACGTAAATCTTGAAAGCAAATAATTAATTATTAAAGAGGAATTCTTACAACGTAACATATAAAATAATAACAAATAATAATTTTGTGATAGAGAATTAGAATCCAATCTATCTGGTGTTTGAAACAACCTGAAAAATAATATGAAGGTGGTGAGAAGTGTGGGGGTGTGAGTGTGAGATGCAGATGCGAATGAGATGTTTCATTTCCTGTCACGTGCTGATGACATATGTTAAACAAGATCTTCATCAAGGTGTTGGAAGCCGACGATGCCATGCATCCAACCACAACAAAACGCGTGTGAAGCTGCTGCTTCTTAAATTATTTCAAATTTTTATTATTAAAAATGTTAACAAATAAGTATGTATCCCATGTCTATGTTTAAATTTCATTTAATTTAAAAAAATTGACTATATTCAAAAACATAACAGGACATTTTAATTATTGCTCTAAACGTACAATCGACTATATTCTTTACATGATATACGTATGATTAACTTTTCATATAATAGTTATGGAAACCCACAAAGGAAAATGATTTTTGTAATACTAAGTCTCTCAAGTGGTTAGAGGATGGAGCTAAAACAAATTAACCGCCATAGACATGCTTATGAAATTCACAAATGTACTTAGGTTTAACATTCATTCACAATAACATTCAGCAATACGTTAAATTTACCACATTGTTATCAATATTCTTAATCAGTGCGACCAATTTTTTTTTCGCTATTGTTTCTGCTATTCACGGCCTGATAAGAATTTAATTTGTTATTTGTAGTTGTTAATTTCTTAATTTGCTAATTTTTTGTTAACTTAATTTATTGTCTGTAGTTTTTAATTTCTTATTTTGTTTATTCCTTAGACAAAATTATTTCAACCATGTAGACAATTCTATTTAAAAATTACGATGAAAGTGAGTGAGGTTGACATTGTAGTTGGAGAATAAGAATTAAATCATATGTTATCTAATCCGACTATCGAAACTATTTTACTCAGCTATGAACATCAATTTTTATATTGAGAAGAAATATATCAATTTTCGTTTTATTGATTGTTATATAAATTTATATTAGTTTTATTTTATTTGATGATTTAATTCTATGGTAAAAATAGATAAATAATAATTAAACCTTAGAAATAATGATTTAATTAAATTTAATATGTTTAAAATTTATTTACAGCAGGATTAAGCTTTAACATAAGAGTGGTTTCACATTAATGCGTCAGGCTTTAAAACACACAAGACAATTGTTAAAGTTGGAAGAGGAAAGTTTCTAATGAAGTTATTGTAATTCGAAGTTTTTATGCATCTTCAGTGTATGTAGGATTGGAACATTTATTGAAGTTTTATGTCGGACATCAAATACTTCCAAATGAACAGCAGACAAGAGACTACGCTTGCACTTATGCAAGATGTATGTTTCTTTCTATGTCTGTGTCCGCCTGTTCACATGTCTGTTAGTTTACGTGTCTGTCTGTTTACATGTCTGCCTGTTTACATTTAAACTGGAATAAACCAAAAAATATGTGAATCTGTTCCACAGCCGTCTATGAATGGCTGTGTTTCTAATTATTTGGTGAATAAATTTTCATATATAATTGAAATTGACTTATAACGTTAAAATCAAATTATAAAGTAAAGAGATAGCCCAGTGCCCACATGTACATCAAACCCTGCTCCTGCCTGCCAAGAGACGAGCGGTGAACATGAAGTTTGAATGGGGAGGTCTATTCCATTCTTGGTTTAAAATTTTAATGCCGTTCATGAGACCACAACCTGAAAACTTAAACTTACAAACAACAATAAGCAACATACAGTGCACACGCCTGAAAATAATTAACCAACCAAACAAACAAGTATAGATAAGCAAATGTGTACCAACATACATACTAACTTATAAAATATGAATATACATACATACATACACATTCATACATGGAAAGACACAAAAAAAAACTAAAAATATAATGCCCGGCGCGGTCAATTTGTGAACAAACAGATAGAAAATTCTCCTCAGCCAAATAATGAAAAACAAGCGTACAAGCAGAGGCATAAAAACCCAGGCGTACACATAGAGGCGCACAAAATTACCGAACGCAGACCACTGTTTAATTAAACAGACACGCATGCAAACATTAAACCAAAATTGACACATTCACAGTAGCACACACGCACGCACAACATCACACAGAATCTATCAGACATACACACAGACACACGCAGAGATAAACACAAATTTATTAGGGGGCGACATGAAGCGACAACGCCAGTGTAGCGACCTCATCAACGCAGCGTGACTGACCGTCCATTAATAAATTTTTCAGGCATAAATACATTGAAGAGATTGAACAAAATATTATTCATATTGCAGACTTATTGGATGACCGATACCTATATGAAACTCATAAATATCTGACCAAATTGTTTCGCCGGTGATAAGCATTTGTTTGTTGATAATGTTGCTGCAAACATGCATGCATGCTTGTATGTTCTGTGTTGTGCTGTGTTTCAGCGGTTCAAACGTGTTTTCTCCGTATTGTAATTTTAACGCACTGACAATTTATTTGATTATATTTTTGTGCTTACAGATTTTCATTTAAAAAGTAGGGAACGCAGGAGCCCAATGAGCTTGTATGGTCACCCAAAACACGATAACGACGAAATTCATTTAGAAATAAACAAAATGAAAACAAAAAATAATTACTAAGATGAAAACGAAACTCCTAACAGATAATCAATAATAAAATAATAAAGGTACGGTTGGCCTGTACGAGTACACAAAGAACGCCATCTCTTACCACGACCGAAGATGCATTGGGGGACCGAAGCTCTATGTTACACGGGATGAATGTTACGAGCTCGATATCTTTTTTAATAAAATAAATTTTTCAATGATCTTATGCACTTACTATTTTTGTTAAACTTGACCTATTAATAAACAAACTTGTCCCATTTTAAAAGCGTTTTCTTTTTTCCGCATACTCTGGTAAGTTTTCACATTTTCATTATTTTTATTAGATTTTAATTAATATACGCATCTATTTAAAACTAATGTTATGAAAAGCTAATGAAACCTTCTAAAAAGAAGCTTAAGGTATGTTTCGTGCTTTAATTTGCCGCACTTTTTTTATTCATTTTTAAACGAGTCGCGACATGTTAGGGTTGTTGGGGCTGTTTGTTACTAACTTTTTTACAAAACCCAATTTCCCATTTCTTTTGACAACCATACAGCAGCTTCTACTAAAAGAAATTGTTCTATTTTCATTATATATTCTTTTAGTTAATGACTTCATTTATTTTTGCTTCAGGTAACATTTTTAGAAATTACATTAAAAAACGAAACAGGTTTGCCTAAATCCAGATGTTTTAGTTTCGGTAGTGGAAACTCTCAATGAAACTGGACGTTAAATCCGAGATGTTGCTAATCAATAAAGTTTAAATTTCGTGATGCTGCATCGTATGTGTAAAGAGAGTTTGTCAAATGGAGGAATTCCACAATTAAGGACCCAACATAATCGACAAATTTACACTGCTATCCAGGAACAAGAGATAGCAGGTTACGTTGCAACAGGAGCAAATGCCATAAGCCAATGATAACAATAAATGTTAACCACAGGAACAAAGGCCATACATTTTCTATATAAACTGCAACAAGTGCTGAGATGATTGAAAAATTGAAATAGGTTCTATACACTCGAGAATGAATTCTAACTTTAATAAAATTAATAATGACAATAAGAATTTGGTTAGAAATATTGAGAAACGTACAAAAAAACTATCAAACGCTAGAAATTCTGTAGATTTTATAAATTACTACGTTAATTATGGTCTTTTTCCGGCACATATATATTTATATATACGTGTATATTGTTATAGT